GTTCCACGTCTAAGTCTATGATCTCGTGTACGATTGGGACTACAACAGGGGCAGGTGGAATAACAACTGGAATTGGTTTGGGAGTAGGTTTAACCGAACACACTGGACGGATCTTGATTGTTGGGTGTGTTAGCTTATAAAATATTTCTGAACCTGTTTTGATTCCTGATTTTTGGGTATGCTTGAGCCCTGATTTCTTGCCTCTCTTTGGCTTTGATAGACCGGAAGGCATTTTATTAAAAAAAATTCAAGGAACAAACAGAATTATCTATGGTGGAGAGATAAGGAAGGATAAAATTTAAACTAATTTATAGGAGGAAAATTTGGGATTCAATTCTGAAAAGGCAATGCCTTCCTTTCTTTTGGCGAATAAGGTTTATAAACGCGGCCGAGGGGCTTTCCAAAGTGGGTGACTAGTACTTTGGCCAGCGCCTCCTGAGTGTAAGGAAATGAAAAGAAAATTTGAATCTTCTTTGGATCTCGATTTTCTTTTCAGAAAATCGTTCGGGTATAGCCAAGGAAAGCCGAGTTACTATCCTTTTAGAATAAATAAAATTATTTTAAAAGGGCTTTATGCCCTAAATTGCCAGTAGCCTCAAAATTTCCGTCTCGGTTGTGGAAGGGGGTTTAGGGAACGGAACTAGGGATATATTCAAGTTCTAACAATCCTTCAAAACCAAAGATACCTTGGCCTAAATCGCACAACGTAGCGTCTTGCGATTCTACTACCTTGAAACAAATTTCTTCTCCGTTTATTGGCAAATAAACCTCACCCAAAATCTGGACCAGCGTGTTGTTAATATAGTCGTTGTCCAAGTCTCCTTGTATAGTGCAGTTATCATTAAGGTTATATTGCGGAATATAATTACACTTTGTCAGTAAGTCAATGGGGATATTCAACGTTCCGTTTTGCAGTTTGTCTGTTTCTACTGTTATGTATGGTGGTAGATACAGAAAATCACGTTCGTCTCCAATAGCAATTGTCATTTTGATTCATGTCGTTTTTTTTTTGATTATAGGAAAATGAAAGGGGCAAGGAATCAGTCCAAAATTACAACGTCGCTGTCGTAGTCTACAGTCACAGTTAACGGTTGAAGCGGACTAGTAAATTTTACTAATTTCACCTTTTGGTCGTTAAAGTCTTCAATGCATCTAACTCTTAATTTTAAAGTGCAAGTGTCTGTCAAAAGGTCAGCTGATCGAACTAACGTCAGAGAAAGTTTTTTTAAGTCGTGGTTGTTCATGACTGTGCCTCGGTGGAACGGGAATTTGGGGTTGAAAATTACAGAGTAATGTAATTTTTCTGTGACCTCTCTTCTGGAAGCCAGAGGGCGTCGGTGGAAGATATTAGTTTTAATAGTGGAAACCTTTCCCTCTCTTTGAGTATCCTCAATTGTTTTATGCTTATTAATTAATGGCGCTACTTCGATGGTTTTGGTATCGTGTGAAGCTTCGGCATCTCGTTTAATAAGGGTCCCTGCCTTTGAGGATTTTTTTACTTTTGAACGTCCACCACGGCGCTTATTTTTATTCGGCATCGCAAAACAATTTTACAAGTGTGAAACAATGTAAAATAGAATTATCAAGGCAAAAGAAAAGCTCTAATTTAGTTTTTCCTTTTCCCTTTCCTCCAAAGCTAGTTTCACGCGACGCTCAATTTCTCTGCGCTTGTTTGTAAGAGCTAGTTCGGCTTCGACTTTGTTCTTGATGTGTTCGACGCAATCGTAAAATTCTTCCCACGAGATTAGGGAGTTTCCCGAATTTTCCGACGAGGTTTCAGTTTGTCTTTCGGGTTTGCGTTTTGAAGCTATAAGCCTATTTAAATTCTTGTCACTCACAATCCCTTTCTCTATTTCAACGCGATTCTTAGTCCTTATCAAGTTCTTTAGTTTCTTACCTGAATAAACGTTTTTGCATTTATGAGGCATTACGAAACATTTTAGAGAATCAAGATAAACTAAAGGAAGTCAGATAATAAGGAAAAGTAGGTGTTAAACGAAGATGATTAAGTTAAAGGGGTTACAGGTAAAAACAAAAACTAATCTTCTTTCGTCACCGTAAATCCTAACTCAACTTCAAATGGGTTTCTGGAGCCCCCACTATAAAAATAGGGTCATCACATACTTTTCACTCTTAGTCAAGTGGTGAAATTAAAAGAAAATTCCGATGATTTTCCTTCAATTTCTGTTTCAGAATTAGAGTGACATTAAAGAAACCAGTTCTTATTAATAGAATAGTAATCAGCACCTTTTCTCTTTATTGACAAAACCTTGGTTTAATCTTAATTGAGATTCTGGAGCCCCCACTATAAAAATAGGGTCATCACATACTACTCACTTTCAATTAAACAGGAAAATTAATTAAAGAAAATTATTTTCTTTTCTTAAATTTTCCGCACCAGTTAAATCAAGATTAAGACTAGGTATTGAAGGTATAGGATAAAGAGATAAAAGTAAAAAGAAATAGAATCAATTCTCTCCCGTCACCGAAAATTCTAACTTAACCTCAAGTGAGCCTCCGGAGCCCCTACTATAAAAATAGGGTCATCACATACTACTCACTCCCGGTCAAGTAGTGAAATTAAAAGAAAATTATAATAAATATTTTTCCTTCAACTTCTATTTCAAATTTAGAATGACACTAAAGAAAATTATTTCTTATAAAAAAAATAATAACAGACACCTTTTCTCTTTATTGACAAAACCTTAGTTCAATCTTAAATGAATTTCTGGAGCCCCCACTATAGAAATAGGGTCATCACATACTCTTCACTTTTAGTCAAACAGGAGAAGTTAAGGAAATTAATTTATTTTCTTAATTTTTCAAACCGGTTAAAATCAAATTAGGGTTGGATGACTGTTAAAATTTTCCTGAAGAAAGTAAGAGAAAATATGGTGTGAAAATGAGAAAATAAGGGAGGCAAATTTTCCTTTTGTCAAAAGAACTTCTGTTTAACCTCAAATAATGTTCTGGAGCCCCCACTATTAAAATAGGGTCGTCACATACTACTTATCTTTAGTTAAACAGTGAAAACGAAAGGAAAATTTTAACAATTTTCCTTTCAGAATTTTTTTTTTTATTCGAGATGACTTTAAGAAGAATTATTCCTCTCTGCGCTATAGAAACAATGATCACAATGTCTCACAAATTAAATCTTATACAAACAAAAAAAAATTTTTCAATTTTCAAAAACAGTGACAAAATTTTCTTTTGAAATTCGAAAGGGGGCCGGGCAAATACGTGAGAAAGATCCCACCGCTGCCACCATCAGCTTGTTACGAACCGAAAAATAATTATATAATAAATTAATTAGAATCCGAAAATAAATTTGGAAAACCAAAATTTAAAATATAGAAAATTTTTAACTGGACAATTTGAGAGAGAGTCTACCGCGCGCCTGCGGAGGTTCGCCGGAGGAACCAAGCTGCCAGAGCCGAATGGCCCTGTTTTTATTGTATGGGTTCGTTATTCTCTTTTAAAAGAATTTACCAAGCAACATCCTTTCCGATTTTATTTAATAGAAGGAAACAAAACAAAGACAGAAAAGAAAACAAGATTTCAAATAAAAGTACAATTTATTTTAAATCAAGAATAAGAAAATTATTACAGAAAAATACAAGAGAGAAAGAAAAATGGAACGATACAATATTTTAAAAACTCACCCTCTCTTCTTTTTAAACATAAATTTCTTACAACTACCGCCTGAGTTTTGAGATGCTCAGCGGGCGAAAACTCTTAATTGTCTTTGAATTTACTTAGGCCTTGCCTTCAAATGACCTAGGCAATACACACACGTACATAAACTCACGGGCCGAGGGAGGAAAATTTAAAAGAAGAGCACGCACTTGTGAACTGAATTTAATAATTTATACCACTCAAAATTTTTTTTTTGTCCGTGAATCTAATTTACGCGTAATTTTAATCATTAACACTAATTGAAATTTTATTAAAATAAAATTTAAAATAGCGAAAGTAATTAAATTTGGTCGGGCTTCACTAATGTGAAGCTTTTACCTTTTTTTTTTTTTTCGTCTATCCTAGGTCCTAGACACTATCTTGTAGTGGTCTGTTAGGCTAGGGGTCGATTAATAGACGGGCAAGTCCCGGCGTTTCGCGAATTGCTTTCAAGCCTCTACGAGGAGCTTACTAACAAGACGAAAGTTGTACTGCAAATTTTAAAAATTCTAATTGCTCCTCTACTCCTTGCTTCTAAATCTGGGGGAAGATTTGGGATAGAAGAGGTGGTTGTAGGAGTAAAAGTGGGGTCGGAACTCTGGGCCTATTGGTCAAGAAGATTTTTGCTGACTTGCGGATCTCACGGTTGGCGTGAGAAACGGAAATGTGTTTGCAAAAATTTGATATTTTTCGGGAATTATTATTTTCAATAATTCCAATCAATTAATAAAAGATAAAAAAAAATCAAATTGTTTGTTGGCATCATTATTATAAAAAGATTAAATTTTCTTTTCATAATAAAATTGCACTAATAATTAGTGCCGGTGTTCTAGTTATAATTGTTTAATAACTTCAGACACACCGCATAATTTTGATTGGCGTAAATAAAATTTCCCTTTTTGAAAAATATAATTTCCTTTTATTCTGTTGAGTGTAGAAGGAAATAACATTCAGTTTAAATCGTTGCACGTGCATTTGTTCGGCAAGCACATGGGATGCAAGGAGAGATTGAAATTTGATACTTTTCTGAAATTATTATTTTTTGAATAATTTCAATCAAAAAAAAAATTTAAAGAAGAGTAAAAATGAATTTGATAAAAAAAATTAAATAATAATAATAAAAAAAATTGTTTATTATTATTATTAATAAATATCGAAAATATTTATTAAAGTATTGCACTAATAACTAGTGCTGGTGTTCTGGTTGTAATTGTTTAACAACTTCAGACACACCGCATAATTTTGATTGGCGTAAATAAATTTGGGATAAATAATTTAGTTATTATTTCTTTGAGCTTTAAAAAGAAATAATATCGGTCTGAATCATGCACGTGCGTTTGCTTGTCAAACACGTGGGGCTCAGGGGAAAAGAGGAAGGATGTAACGAAGGAGAAGAAGCAACGAGAAGAGGCCTGCAACGTGTTAGTGGTACGTACTATGCATAGTACGTCTGTGTGCGTATTGCTACGGTTAGCATTGTCCAAAGGAGTTCATATGTATGCGCGTGCACCGCCACAGCCATCCGAAGTTGTGTAGGTCTAAGCGATATGATTACGGATTATTTTATTTCTTTATTTTAATTTTAATTTTATTTTATAAGACAATTTCTCTTTTTCTATTCGTTAAATATTTTTAGTTGTGTTGACAACATATTAGTATTATAACAAATATGCTAAGCAAAATTTTCTTGAATTATTTCGATGTCGCAGAGTGTGCACACATAACCCATACATTCGACTTTTAATCATGAAATCGTGTTTAAATATTTATAAGATTGTCGTACATTAATTTTGAATTGGGAATGTTGCGACCCAGCGGAAACTGTTCAGGCAGATGCCGCAAGCTTCGTTTTATGGGTTGCAACATTCGCAACATTGCCGTTCGTGGTTTTTCAAAATGGGAATGTTGCGACCCAGCGGAAGCTGTTCAGGCAGATGCCGCAAGCTTCGTTTTATGGGTTGCAACATTCGCAACATTGCCGTTCGTGGTTTTTCAAAATGGGAATGTTGCCGTAAGGTTCATTATTACTTTTGAGTAATTGTCGTTCTAGTTTAACCAATTTTAACAGGCTTTATACAATATTTTAAGGAGAAAACGCATGCTGTTCCTCCATTTTACATTTTACGTCGGCTGGAATTGAAGGGAACATTTTCGGGAGGTTTAGAGTATTTTGGCGAAAGTAAATTGATTCTCTTTTTTTTTTAATTCTGTAACCAATATTTGCTTGGTGCTGCATTTCGTTGCGCCCATTAAAATTTGTCGTTGCTAATATTTTATTATACAAACTGTGTTGGTCGTAGTTAAGAGAGAATTATTATTCTATCAACCGTCAATTATTTATCAATTATTATCACAATTAATTAATATAATAATATTAATAATATAATAATAATAATAAAAATAATAATGTATGATAATGATAATAGTAATGATAATAGTAACAATAATAATATTATTATATAATTAATTAATTACCATTAACCATTACCATCATTATTTATCCATTTATTTGCAATCAACATTTAAATCATTATTCGATAGTTTCCTGAAATTCATAAAATTTTCTGTTAACTAACCTTTTGTTAGTTATAAAGGGAATATGCTCAAGTAGGCCAACTTCGTTCCCGGTGCAGTGCTGACGCAGCTTATGCTTGGTGATATCCGAGGATATCACCTTTCAATAGTATTTATCGCGAGAAACATTTAAAAGAAAAATGATTCTTAATTTTGAATAAATTAAATGGTTTTCTATTTTTGTTTTGTTTTTGTTTTTGTTAATGTGAGGTTATACCGTAACAAAAGAAACTCATGAAATTTTGAAAAAGGAGGAAAACGATTTAAAAAATGAAATAAAAAATTTGCAAGATTTAAAATTCTCAGAAGGTTTAGTGAATTTTGACTTTTCACTCACAATGGTTGATGGAAAAGTGAGAATTTATGTCAAATTTATAATATTACATAAATTCAGTCACTGAAACTTTTATTTTACATGTATAATATTTAATTTCTTATACTGTATATTTACTAAATAGATCTACTTTTCATAGACAATAACAGCCTTAAATGACTCTTCAAGTCAAACTTGCGATATTTGTAAAGCAAAAATATCCAAAATGAATCAAATAGATTCTTTATTGCAATTACCTATAAACGATGAAGCATTGCAATAGGGTCAAATTTTCTCAAAAAAATCAAAGTTGGTCATGGGTCTTTCAATTTTTGTGAAACTTGGTATAAAGGTAGTGTTTTATGACAGAAGATTTTAGGAAAAAAAGATTTTTCAAAATTTTTTTGTCTCGAGGTGCACATATATCGATCTCGCGTAAACACGCCTGAGATGTGCACCAAACGTTCTTAAGCGTGAATTTTCGCATTCTTATATTTCTTTGTTAATTTTGAGTAAAAAAGGAAGGTTTAAAAATCAAGTTTTGCAATTACAAATTTGTTTTTAAACAATTTTGAATCTCAAAATGTGTATGTAATATATAAGGGGCAAATTTTCTCAAGTATACCAATGTCAAAATTGCAAGTTGTTAGATCGGGCTAATATTTTCACAGTATTTATAGAACTATGAATCAGTACTTAAAACCACCAAGTAATTATGAAATTTCATTAAAAAAATGTAGGGGGGAGGGGGTTTAAGATTTTGGATAAGTATAAACAGTGAGTTTTATAAAAAATCGTAGCTTTTATATAATAAAGAAAAAAAATTGTGACCTATATGCTTTTGGTAGGTATATATGTTTTTCTGCTCTATCAAATAGTGAGAATTTTTTTAAAAAATTCAAAATTTAACTCTTCTTTTAAAAATTAAAAATTTTTTTTAACTATACTTCCCGGCTTAATATTTTTTAACATTTTCTAAAGTAAATTTTTTAAATTTTTACATTTTTGATGTAAGAAGAGATGATTATTTTTTATCTAAATAATTTTTTATTATTTTAATATCAATATCAAGCGTGATACACGCATAATGTGTTGAATATTTTATTTAAACAATCGTTGCAAATAACTGAAATATATTTTTTTAAAGTAGAATTATATAAACATTTGATTTAAAAAAAACTAACACTTTATCTTTATTTTTCTAAATATTTATTTGTAAAACGTTAATTTAATCAGAATACTTCATTGTAAAATATTTCAATTTTAATTAATTAATTAATTAATAATTCAAAAAAAAACTTCATTTTTTTCATTACATAAATTGAAAGTACACATCATAAGCTTTCTTTTGGTACAAGAAAAAAATGGCTTTTTTGGAAAAAAAATCAAAAAAATTTTTAATTTTCAAAAAAGGGTTAAATTTTGAATTTTTTAAAAAAATTCTCACTATTTGATAGAGCAGAAAAAACATATAGGTCACAATTTTTTTTCTTTATTATATAAAAGCTACGATTTTTTATAAAACTCACTGTTCATACTTATCCAAAATCTTCAACCCCCTCCCCCTACATTTTTTTATAAAATTTCATAATTACTTGGTGGTTTTAAGTACTGATTCATAGTTCTAAATACTGTGAAAATATTAGCCCGATCTAACAACTTGCAATTTTGACATTATGGTACACTTGAGAAAATTTGCCCCTTATATATTACATACACATTTTGAGATTCAAATTTGTTTAAAAACAAATTTGTAATTGCAAAACTTGATTTTTAAACCTTCCTTTTTTACTCAAAATTAACAAAAAATATAAGAATGCGAAAATTCACGCTTAAGAACGTTTGGTGCACATCTCAGGCGTGTTTACGCGAGATCGAAATCTGTGCACCTCGAGACAAAAAATTCGATATTTCGGTTAGTTTTAAAGTCTCCAGGGATTTTTTTTTGCAAAAAATTCTGGAGAAGATAACGAATCCAAATATTATAGTTACAAAAAAATCGAAGGGGTGCTTATGCCCGAAAAAATGAAATCAAAATTTTTTTTGACTTTTTTTCCGGGCAAATTTTGGATTTTTTTTCTTTAATATTGCACTTTAAATTGTTAGATAATCAACTATTATTACCTAAAATATAAACAAAATCTAAGTAAATGGATAAAAGTTATTCGTTTTTCAAAAAAATGTGCTTTAATGTTTCATGCCCGGTAAAATCCACAATTTTGAAAATTTTGAAAAATCTTTTTTTCCTAAAATCTTCTGTCATAAAAAACTACCTTTATACCAAGTTTCACAAAAATTGAAAGACCCATGACCAACTTTGATTTTTTTGAGAAAATTTGACCCAATACGGATTTTCACTTCTCCATGCATATATTCGATTTATGGAATGCGTGCTACATATATCGTACAGATTAAATTTTGAAAAATGGAGGGTACGTTAATTATCAATAAGTTCTAAATGAAAAGATAAAATTTAAATTAAATTTTGTAAAAATTAAATTAAATGAAAATTCTAAATTAGACATAACTAAAATGAATATTAAACTTAATTTTAAAATAAGATTATTAAATTTATTAATTTATTATTAAATTATTTATTTTTAAAAATTCCAACATCTGAAACAGGTTACTGGTAAAAACCAAGAAATAATGAAACAGAGAAAGGCAGAAATTCAGAAAGATCTTAGGGATGCTCTAGGAATAATGGTAGATACTCCTAAACAAGGTTTCGGAAGTACGAACGATGGAAATACTGCCAGAACAGTTTTTAAATCTGAAAACATTGCTATAGTATCAGAAAAGACTGGCAAGAATACCTACATTAAATTAATTAAAAATTTTTTTGAAAAGTTTTATTTTTATTACAATTTTTCTAAATTAAAGGTTTTGATAAAGAGTTATTGAAACGTCTAAGTAATATCTTATCTGTCCTGCATTGTGGGCATTCTATCAGGATTGAAGAGTTTAGGATTTATGGTTTAGAGACAGCACGCGAATTCGTACGATTATATCCGTGGTATTGCATGCCACCTTCGATGCATATAATTTTATTGCATGGATACCTTGTGCTAAAGAAATTTGATTTGCCAATATATATGATGTCTGAAGAAGCACAAGAAACGAGAAACAAAGACATCAAAAGATTTCGAGAATTTCATTCTCGAAAAAAATCCAGGTACTCTAATCAAATAATCTATCATAAATGTGAAGTATTAATAGTACATTTGTATAAAAAGAGAAATTAATAAACGATTTCATTAGAGTTTGCACAAACCAGGATGTCTTTGAAAGATTGTTAACATCTTCGGATATCTATATATCAGAGACTAGAGACATTCCAGAAAAACAGCATCGCACATTAACAGATGAAATGAACGTGTTATTATATTAAGTTATTGAATTTTAAAGTTATTATTTTAAGTTATTTTCGTTAAATGTTGTAAAATGTTTTTTGCATTGTGTCTCAAACGTATTTGTTTTTACTAGTCAGGAAAATAAAATTTTAATATCATATTTATCGTTTAAACCCGTTACATACTCCTAGTAATGCTTCTTGAAGATTTTAAAACTTTTTCAGATACATACAATTAAAAAAACTGCATTTTTAACACATTTTGAACGTAGTTACGAGAGGAGTGAATTTTTTTTTGAAAATCGCACTTTTGAAAATTCTAGGTGTAATTCTGCGTCGATTGATCCCTTGTACACTTATTTTCGTTGAAAACTCGCGTGAAGATTTACAATTTACGATTTTTGTCATTTCGAACCACTGTGCGCTCCACGGCTATTGTGTTGTCTCTTCTTCATCTCCTCTTCTCTCTCACTCCGTTGGCTCTTCTATCTCTTTTTCTGTCTAACAATAAGTTCACCGGCCCTGCCCTCTGTCACTTTCTTTGTGACTATCTTTCCGCGCGACATACTTTCACCGCCGCTGGTGGGTCACCCGGCAATCTAGGCTTTTCAATTATACCGATTAACATTTTGGTTCGGGGATCGCTTCGACAGGTGTAGTGACGATTTACATCGTTACAATAAATTTCAAAAAAGTTTGTTTAAGAAATTTTTTTTAATAAAAAATATATCCAGAAAAATTTTCTGAAATGTATTAAATATAAAAATAGTCTTATAAAATTTAATTATTTAAAAAATACTCCCGGATTTTCTAAAGGTCGTCTTATTTAGTGTGATGTATTTCCATAATAAAATATATATGGGTATGTGACCTTTGAATAATAGCACGACTCAAGATTTTTTTTTATAGCTATGATTTTAAATAAAGTTTTCTTAAAAATTTCGTTCGTTCTTAAAAATTTCTTACAGTTTATATTGAATTTTACGTAGTTTAATAATAATCTTATCTCCTTACCTACTGGCGCACAGTATCAAATTAAGAAGTAACAAAAAATGTATAAAAATAAGTAAAACTAGTTTTCTATTTTTTAAAAGCTACGAATAAAATATTTATTTTTAAAAATATTATTCAAGTTTTGAATGTATTGTACTTTAGCAATTGTTTAAAAATTGGTTTCTTGAAAAATTGTAATCAATAATGTTTTAAATGTAGTTCAATTTCCGTAAATAATCTAAAAAGATAAAATAAAATTTTCAATTACCTGTTTGGAAATTTTTGCAAAACTAATTAAAGTAAATTTTGTGTTTTTTACTTTTGAAAATTATTCCTAAATATAATCGTAGGTTTAAATAATTTTAAATTATAATTTAAAAACTAATTTAGTTTTCTAAAAATTTAGAATTGAAGTTATAATCAGGACAAAAAGCAAATATTTTTTATCTAAGTTTGGAAGTCAGAATTAAATTTTCGTGATTTTTAGAAATCGTTTAAATTTTTTTTTTGTGAAATATAATTTTTCGATGGCTACTCTTTTTACTACTTTTTTCAGTCCTAAAGCTACTATTTTAAAATTAATTATCAAGTGTGAAGCCTTTTTTTGTATATAGTTTATTAGTTTAAAGAATAAAATCCTAGTTGAAAAAGTTTTGTAGAATTTACTATAGAATCATTCTATGTAAATTCTAGTGAATATTTTATAGAATTTCTACATGAATTCTACTAAAATTTAATTACTTTTAATTAGAAAAAATATAAATTTCGTGAAATAATGTTTTTTAACACTATATTATTATATAGTTACAAAGTTCAATTAATTTTATAAATATAAATGTTTTCAACAATCTTTGCGTAAAATTTGTCATAAAAATCAAATGAAAACTTTAATTTTACAATAATATAATGTTTAGAAAAATTATTTAACGAATTTTATATTTTTTCTAATTAAACTTTACAAAAATTTATAAGAATTCATATAGAAATTATATAAAACGTTAACTAGAATTTATATAGAATTATTCTACTGTAATTATATAGAACATTTTCAGCTGGGATGTAATTTAGATTAATTAATTTACATATTTACATGAATCGATGTGTACCTAAATTTTTAATTACTGCTAATTAAAATAAGCTTATTTAAAACTTATTTAATTTATAATAAATTTAAATTCAAATCAGTTGAAATTTTAAAAAATTAAAAGAAGAAATAATAATTCAAAATGCAAGTAAGTTAAAATATAAAAGAACTAAATTATATTTAGTTTATACAATAAATTATAATAATTATTAAGTGTAATCCTGATTTCGAATTTTCTTTTTTAAAATAATACAATTATAATTACTGGATGGAATCACTAAGTTTTATTTAACGAAGTAAGTTTAAGTTTTAATAAAACTGGATTAAAATTGAAATGAAATGTTTTGAATGAATGAAATTAAGATTTATTAAAATTTAAATGATAATAAAAGCAAAATATTTGACAATATAACAGTAAGAAGCACTACGCAAAAAGATTTTCCTTAAGAGTTAGTCCCCGCTATCCTTGTGACTTCTTTAGGTATATGACTTTTTTTATTTTTTGAAATTATTCTGTGCATACCGGTTAGTTCTGAGTGTACTATATAATTGTCATCGAAGTCTCTGAAAAATTAAAAAATTTTTGATTTAAAACATAGAACATTTTTCTTCAAATATTCCTTCAAAAAGTAAAAAAATTTGGAAATTGGCTTGAAACTTATGTTAAATGATAGCCTTATAGGAAACTCCTAAATTTTTGTTAACAAAAGTTGTATTAAATTAGCTGGAGTTACATTAACAAGGTTGCCTCGCTTTTGCTTTTTTCAAATTCTTCTATTCTTCCAGATTGTCCAGATTAAAAAACGGAATTTGACCTGGTTTTTAAAACGAAAATTAACCAAAAATATTAATAACTTTATTTTTAAATAAATATTTAATCATTATTATTTTTTCATAAAAATTAAGATTTTCAAAAATTTGAAATTCAATAAAATATAAAAATATTATTGTAAAACACATGAAGATATCGATCACTCCGACTCTTCGACTAGGAGTGATAGCTTTCTTCATGTTTTATAACAATTAAAACTTGCTACTTTGTTACTTTAACTTCTTCAAAAATTATTTTCATAATTACCAAATCTACAAGCCAATCCACAAAACGTTCAATTTCTTGTTACAACATAAAATCAGGAACAACTTATAGAAAATGCTGGTCTCGAACCAGTAAAAGTATTTAAAAATACGTTCTATACGTCAAAAAATGGAAAATTACGGACCATTTGTGGATCAATGACTGACAAAAATATTTCCAATCAGAGTAAAATAAGAGAATGTGTAATGATCTTAAAATTTGCCAAAGGATTTGCTCGCCGGATGGAGTCCGGGTACTTTGAATAGATAAATTCTTACAATTTAAATATTATTAAATTCCACTTAATTATAAAATATTACAATAATTTAGCAAGAAAATTAGTGACGTCAATGAGGTTAGGTAAAGTCAGTAAAAAGACATAAATTAAACCTTCGTAAGAAAGTATATTTTAACAAAATAAAATAGTAAAAGAACAATGAATAACAAAATAAAGAAATAAAGTAAAATATAAAACGTAGTAAAAATATGATAACAATAAAATATAAACTCGATATAATGCAAAACTGAATTTAAGAAAAGAAACTATAAAACGCTATTAAGAAACAAGAAAATATTGGTCTGCCGTTACTGGCCCAAGGCTACGCCAACGCTGATATTAATCTCCGTTCGCTCTGTAATTATACATGAAATATGTTTGTAAAAGAATTATAAATAAATTATGAATATAATGACGCTAAATACTCGCGAGGGGTAGTTACTAGTATTAACCCCCTAGATAACGTTAGGGACGAAAACCGAGATTGTGCACGCGAGACGGTTTAATATCTTAAACCGGAACTAGATATCAAATTACATTTGATATTCATATCCTGCCCGAAACTAGTGTGAGTATTATAATAACTCAGGTTGCATCTCCACCAAGTGGCCCAAGTTGCCCCTCAACTCGACGAGGATGGTACAATCATAACTGTATATTATAAAGTGTATTTGTGTGAGTGTAAATGTGTGAGTTCCAGTGCTAGAACCAACACGGTTGCCCCCATAGAAGGTTCACTGCACTAGAGAGTAATGTGAGTTGAGTGTGTAGTAGTGTAGTGCATGTAGTGAGTGCATTGGTTCCACACGGTAGCCCCCATAGAGCAACCACTGCACTCACGGTGAGAGAGAAAGGAAGCGTGGCGAAGGGTGTTACCCTGGTTATCGGTTGCCCCCGAGCCCCAGAGTACAACTCCTTCTGGGATTTTACACAGAGCTGGTGGTAGCGGTTGCCCCCACATTTCACCTACCCTGTGCAAAAGGTAAAAGGGTTAAGGGTGAGAGAGTATGAAAGTGAGCTGCTGTCGGTCTACCTCGGAGCAAGCCCCGAGCTCGGCCGGCGGCGAACTGATGAAATTCTCACTGCAACCAAGTATTATAGATCGCCGGCTTTGACAGGTAACTCGTACGGAGAGAGAGCGACCCACGTGCTTGCGCGGCAAAGTATGCGCGTTCGGTACTCTCCTCTCTGACAGCAAGCTGAGAGCTCTGTAGTATATATAGATATACTAAATGCATGCTTATACGAAAATGATTTTATTTTACGTTAGAAATTAAAACTCTTTCGTTACATCCCCCCTACTTAAAAAGCGAATTTTAATGAGCGTCTTGTGGATGATAAAAGCAACGAGAAAATAAAATAAAATCTAACTAGGTATCACTTACAAAATTTTTCTCACATGTCGAGTATGGCCATTGGAGAAATCCAAACGAAGCTTCCACTTGAAACCATTATCCCTCAGACGATAACGTTTAATACCAATTGGAACTTGAATCCATGGTCCTCCGGGAAGTTTAGCGATCGTATAAGAAGGAAGCAATAATAATGGTTCGGAGAGTAAAATATCAGAAATTATTTTTGGTTTTTTAAATTCTGTTTTAACTTCAGGA